CCGGGAAATCGAGTTAATAATGTTTCAAATACTTGAAAAGTCCGGGCTAACGGGAGTTCCGTCTCCCTTTCCTCGCTCCGGATTTGAAGAGATTGCCTGGGCTAGGAGGAATGTGCCTTTTTCTTGAAGGGGGGGTAGCGGTGGTGGTAATTTTCATTCTTGTAATATTGGTTTGGGGATAATTACTTTTAATGTCAAAAAGATTTAGTTTAATATCATCTCTATTAGGCGGCTGGGCGGATAATTAAAAGTGAAGATGATAGCAGCAGGGAAACAGATGGCATTTGCTTACTTTGATTCAGTAGGTAAATAATGAAAAAGTCAATGGCAAACCCCCTAGAACAATTGAAACCTTAAAGAGCACTAACATTAGCAGGTACTTACAAACTGTCTTCCGCTAAGAACGAGATGAAAATACACTAATCAAGAACTATATTTCTCTGGGATGCTGCCGAGGGCTGCGCTGCCTGCGGGCGTGCGTGTCCCTTCCCCCGCATGGCAGCCAATAGCCGGGCTCTTTTTAATTAAGATTTTACTACTGCGACTGGGGGAAGCTGCAGCAGCACCGTCGCTGCAGCCCTCTCGAACTTGGGCACCGGAGCAGCCGCACACGGGAAACCTTTAGGAGAATCAAGGGGAGTGAGGAGAGAAGGAAACACCGGAGAAATCGGGGCTTCTTCAGAATAAATATATTAAATTAGCATTTAGTGTCGTGTTTTAGCGGGCTGACCCGGCCGTGAGCGCTGGGCCCTGGTGCGTTTCTGGATGCTGCCAGAGGCAGACGCGCAGCGGGGATAACCGAGCAGCACCCGGGGCACCGCGCAACGAAACGCGGCGTCTCTGGGCATCCCTGTAACGAAATAAAATCGACTTTGATGCATCTGGAGGGCGCGGGCTGCCCTGACCACGGTGGGGATCTCCCTAGCACCCTTTAGCCCCGGTGGCCCCGGGGTCGGAGCGTTCCGTGCCCGGCCCGGGCAGGGCCCCCGCCCCGCTCCCGGTGCCAGCCCGGCTGCTCCTGCGGGAGCTGCGTCCAAGCCTGAGCTCCTCCCGTGGTTTGACGCTGGGAGCTGCTCCCAGAGCCAAGCTGGGAGCGAGACCAGTCCCGGGGGCTTTAAAGTCGCGTTTCACCGGGTTTGGAGAAATGAATTTCTCTTTCTATGTCCCGCCCGGGCAGCGGGAGCGGCTGCTCCGTGCGTGCCTAAAACAAACATCCCCCCCCCAGAAAGACACGGGAGCGGGGATGTACAAGAAGATTTTATTGTGCCTCGTCAAACAGAAATGAATTGCAGTAGGAGAGAAGGGAAGGAGAAGGGAGGGGTGGGGGGAGAGCAGCATCCAGCTCGCCGCTGCCTCCCGTCCGTTCTCACACACTCGCTGGGCTCCGGCAGCCGGGACGGAGCTGGAGAGAGCCCCGAGCCCGCGGCGAGTCCCGGCCGCGCCTCTGCTGCTCCGGGCGAGCTCCCAGCTCAGGGATGCTCGGTTTGAATAAATCTGTAAAACGTGCGCATTTTCACGCATGTATCACAGCCAAAGTTTTCAAAGAAAAATATAGGCAGGGGAGAAATTATTATTATTATTATTATTATTATTATTATTATTATTATTATTATTATTATTGTTAAAATGTCAAACCGGTGAGAAGCGTGATTCCGGGCTCTCCTTTTCTAAACGCACGGCGTAAGAGAAGAGCAACACAGGAATGGCTGGGTCCCGGTTGGAAGCGGCCCCTCCAGCCGCTTTGCTCCCGGCGGAAGGCAGAGTCTCGCTGAGCCCGGAGCAGGGTGCCGAGCCCGAGGAGAGGCCTCGGCTCCGGGACAGGAGCGAGCCCGGCCGGGAGCGGCGGCTTCGCCTCCGGGCGCTGCCGGGGCTGCTGCGGGCCCGGGGGATGGGAAACCGCCCAGAGACCCTGAAACCGGGGGAAATTCGGACAAATGTCCTCAGAACTTGCTGAGTCCCGCAGTTGCGTTACATATACTTGCAATTTAAATTTTTTTATTTAATAAACCCCTTTTGTTGCGATGTCGGATTGACAGTGAGTGTAACGTTTAAAACCAGCACATGGCTCAGTGTTTTGGACGGGGGGTGTCCTCTGCTGGCTTTGGGCGAGCAGCAGAAACAGGCACTGGGCGTTTTGGTGCCCAGCTCTGGGACAGCGCAGCCCAACTCTGCGTGTCACAGTGAGCGGGGCCGGAGCCCAGGAAACAGCCTGGGCACAGAGGTGCTGCACCTTGCGTGCTGCAACTTCATCACCGCCTTTGCGATGTTACTGAAAGCCTGAGGCTCCCAACAGAAACCACCGCGTTTCACTGGCTGATTACGGACCCACTCTTGGGCTGGGTTGGGGTTTTTTTTTGTTTTGTTTTTGTTTTGTTTATAATTTGTTTTATTTTGTTTGTTGGTTGTTTTTTTTTCCCATGTTTTTTCCCAAATAGATAGTTTTAAACAGCCATAAACGGAAAGGATAACCCAGCCCTTTAATTGAAGTCAGAGCAGGAAGATAAGGGAATGGGGGAAATCGGCGTAACCCGTCCTGTGTTGTTGTTGGTGCGCTGCCTCGGGGGGCAAAGGGAAGGTATTTGCCGAAAAAAACCTCATAGCAACCCCAAACAAAACTGCCAGGAAAAAGGGAGAACATTTTATCCACGTTAAACAAACATAAAACAATACTTTAAATGTTTCTTATTAGCTCTGATCGAGTTCTACGAATTCCCAATTAAATCAGATGGTTTAAGTAATACTCCCGGGAGAATAAAATTAGTGGTTGCGAATAAAATTAATTCGGATATTTTGACTTGGCTGCTGTAATAAATAAAGGTGTTATAACACCTAAATCACGAGGAGCAGGCAGCAGCTGCGCCCGCAGAAAATCGGGGAGGAAAGAGCTAATTTCGGGTCCAAAAAAAAAAAAAAAAAGAAAAGAAAAAAAGAAAGAAGACGGATGTAAGTGTAACAAAAATATTGAAAATTTGGAGGGCTCTGCGATTGCGCTTTTCGCACCAAGGAAGGAGAGTGACCAAGGGGAGTGCGTGTCCTGCAGTGTCCCCAGCGCGCCGAGGGAGCCCCGGGCAGCGCCGGCTCCCCCGAGCAGCTCCGGGGTTTTCCCCGCTCCCGACTCGGGGCCCGCAGCTCCCGGGGCAGCCCCCGGGCCCGCACCGGGAACGGGTCCCGCTACCGGCGGGGCAGCGCAGGTGGGGATGCTGAGCGGCGGGAGGAGGCCCCGAACACCGGCAGAGGGGTCCCGCCACGGGCAAACACTCGTGTGAGAAAAAACAACTTCAGAAAGTGCCGAGGAGGACGGAGATCCCTCGTGGGAAAGAGAGCGAGAGCCCTGGGGAAAGCGGAGCGCGTTATTTCCCACCGAGCGCTGCCTCCTCCCGCTGCCCGCCAAGGTGACGTCAAACCCGGGCGGCGATGCTAAAACAAAAGCTCCGGGGTTAATGTACAGTTACCAGCCCGCAGCCTCCTCCTCCTCCTCCAAAATCAGTCCCTCGGGTGTGTTGTCCCCGCGGGGAAGGCGCCTGTTGAACACGTAGTCACGCAAACAGCTGGCAGGAGAAAGGAAGAACGAACTTTAATTTCTGGGGAGCGAGGGGCGGGCAGGGATCCCCCAGCATAAAGCGCAGAGAAAGGATGGAAAAATCATACTCACATTGCTTCTCCTGCTGCGGCAGCACTCGGACATTCACCTGTGTGGAGGGAGAGGGAGAGGGGAGAGAAAGGAAAAAAGGAAGGAGGGAAGGAAGGAAGGAAGGAAGGAAGGAAGGAAGGAAGGAAGGAAGGAAGGAAGGAAGGAAGGAAGGAGAGAGAGAGGCGTCGTTACGTACTATCATAAAACAAAATCTCCAAGGGGAGGGGAGACACCACAAATTGAATTGTCACCTTGCACAGCATATTCCCCCCCTCCCCTTACGACAAGTAACACCCAGGGAAAACAGCCCAAGCGCTTGGCAAGTGCCGTTACCAATGAATTAAAGAAGCCAAGCTCGGTACGGGCGGCCCGGCCGGGGGTGCCGGGGCTCCAGGCGCGCCCCCGCTGTCCCCGCGCTGCCCCCGGGCGCTCCCGGCGCTCCGCGGGCGCGGCGGGCGCGGCGCGGCCAATCAGCGCGGCGCGCGCGGGCCCTGGCCAATGGCAGGCGCCACATTGTTGTCCAATGTTGCCTAATGGCAACGCGGGCCGCAACAATAGCGCGAGTGGCAGCGCGAGTGGCGGCGCGGGTGGCGGCGGGCGGGCAGCGCTCCGCTCCCTCCGCTCCCTCCGCTCCTTCTCCTCCGCTCCGCCAGGCCCGCGTCGCCTCCCGGGGGGCTCCGCACCCGGCCCGCCGCTCCGGGCTCGCCGCGGCTCCTCCGCCCATCTGCGGAGGTGCTGCTCGGGAGACGGGGCGATTATTTTTTTTTTAATATTTTTTCCCGCTATTCTCTGCTGGATTTTAGCCTCGCGAGGGATCCTGTCGTTGAAGGTGCCGGATTGTTCTTTGGAGGGACGCTGCTAGTCTGTGGCCGCAGTTGCAGGGGGACGGGGGAGCGGAGCTTAGCGGGCAGCTCGGGTGGCACCGGGGCGCCGCGGGGAGCGGCGAGCCCGTGGGCGCGGACGGGAGAGCTCGGCTCTGAGCCTGGCGCGATGAACTTGGTGCTGCCCCGCCAGACGCGCACGGAGAGCAAGGAGGCGAGAGTGATCTAAGTTTTCTCGGATTTTCTTGTGTTAGCTTTGCTTTTCGGGCGCGGAGGGGAGGAGGGCGCGGAACGGCTCCCGACGGGCCCCTCCTCACTTGAACCCCGCCGCGGGGGGACGGGGGCGTCGGGCGAGGCGAGGGGACAGGCGCCGGTGTTTGCATGCCCGCTCCCGGGGCTCTGCGCGCCCCCCGCTCGTGATTGCGCTTGAAGGCGACGGGAGCCTCTCCGCGCCCGATCGCGGGTGCGGCGCAGGGGCTCCCCCGCCCCGCGTCGCTTTGGGGGAGGCCGGGGAGGGGGGGCCGCTCTCTCGGGGCGGGCTGGCCGGGATGGAGCTGCGCTCGGAGCTGCCCAGCGTGCCCGCCGCGCCCCCCCCGGTGCCCCCCAGCTCGGTGGCGGCCGCGGCCGCGGCGGCGGCGGCCACGCTGCCGGTGAGCGTGGCCGGGAGCTTGCTGCGGGCGCCGCCGCTGCTGCTGCGGGCGGCCGAGAAGTACCCGCGGACGCCCAAGTGCGCCCGGTGCCGCAACCACGGCGTGGTGTCGGCGCTGAAGGGCCACAAGCGGTACTGCCGCTGGAAGGACTGCATGTGCGCCAAGTGCACCCTGATCGCCGAGCGGCAGCGCGTCATGGCCGCTCAGGTGGCGCTGCGCCGGCAGCAAGCGCAGGAAGAGAACGAGGCCCGGGAGCTGCAGCTGCTCTACGGCACGGCCGAGGGGCTGGCGCTGGCGGCCGCCAACGGCATCATCCCGCCCCGGCCCGCCTACGAGGTGTTCGGCTCCGTCTGCGCCGGGGCCGGCGGCGAGGGAGGCGCCGGCGCCTCAGGTAAGGCCGCGCTGCGAGCCCTCGGAGCGGGGGCGATGGGGGGACGGGGCCTGCAGAGGCGGCGGGACACGAGCGGGGCTGCGGGCGGGGGTCCCGCCGACGGCCGGGGCGCTCCGCGGGGCAGCCCCACTGACGGTGTCTCTTCCTTCTGCCCCCCCGGCCCGCAGAGTCCAAGATGCAGAAGTTCGAGCTGTTCCCCAAGACGCTGCTGCCGAGCCGCGCCGTCACCCCGCAGCAGGCGGGCGGGAAGCCCCTCTCCCCGGACGGCGAGTCCGTGCCCGGCACCTCCTCCCCAGACGCTCGCCACGGCTCGGGCTCGGAGAACGGGGACGGCGAGTCCTTCCTGAGCTCCCCCGTCTCCAAGGGCCCGAAGGAGGGGGAGGAGAGCCCGGGCTCCATCAGCCCGCTGGGCTCGGACTCGGGCTCAGAGGCGGACAAGGACGAGCAGGACCCGTCGCCCTCGGCCGGCGGCCGGCAGCGGACTCCCATCGACATCCTGACGCGCGTCTTCCCGGCGCACAAGCGCAGCGTGCTGGAGCTGGTGCTGCAGGGCTGCGGCGGGGACGTGGTACAGGCCATCGAGCAGATCCTCAACAACCGCGGCCCGGAGAAGGGCCCCGAGGAGGGCTGGGCCCGGGACGGCGCCTTGCAGGGCCTGCCGCCCACCCCCGCCGCCGCCGCCGCCGCCCACCACCGGCCCCTGATCGCGGGCGCCATGGCCCCGGCCATCGGCACGCTGGGCAGCCGCTCCGCCTTCTCCCCGCTGCAGCCCAACGCCACGCACTTCGGGGCCGAGGCCGGCGCCTACCCGCTGGGCACGCACCTGGGACTGAACCCGCTGCGCCTCGCCTACTCGGCGCACAGCCGCGGACTGGCCTTCATGACCCCCTACTCCACGGCCGGGCTGATGCCCACGCTGGGGTTCCGGCCGCCCGTGGACTACGCCTTCAGCGACCTGATGCGGGAGCGCTCGGCCGTGCACAAGGAGCAGGTGTACTCCGGAGGGCTCTACGGGCCCATGGTCAACAACACCCCCGAGAAGCAATAGCGGCTTCCTAAAGCTCGTCTGTGTAGAGGTAGCTAGGTAGGCGCGGGTGGACGGACACGGGGGTTTGCTCTCTCTCGCCCCGTGCAGGCGGGGGTTGCGTGCGGAGCCCGGCGCGGACAGGCGTAGGTGTGTTAAGGTGATCAAGGTGCACTTTCATTGTCCAGACATGAGTCGCTCTTTGTTGCTTATGGCCATAAGCATGGATATCCTCGGCGCGTCGTGGCGTGGGCACACACGCGAGCGCCCTTTCCCACAAACACATACATATATATATATGTATACTAGCAAGTGTATAATGTTATAAAATGGAAATCTAAGTTATTAATGTAACTCGTAGGTGAACTCGGTATTAACGTTAAGCTAAAGGTTAGGCAGCGCATTGTAATACTTACCAGGCATATAGATGAAACATTGTCAAATTGAAAACCTTTTCCTTCCCGCCCCCAGAAACGTTGCGGTCTGTATATAACATTGGAAAGTAGATATATTTGTAACTGTCCGTAGGACCCTGGCGCCAATGGTGTATGATGGTTTAATAAGCCTCCTTCATTCGTGATCTGCAAGAAAATTGCTTTCTTGTTCCGATGTAGCAAACTTCTTGCTGTTTCTAACAGGTAATTCTGTGTTTCCATTTCATAGAAATAAATGTTATTTTCTATTAAAAAAAAATCGGTCTTATGAATGGCAAGTGGTATTTTATGAGATGATGGAAGTGTGTTTTGGGAAATTCATTTGACAAGTGCATTCAATATTTAAAGGAGTTTATGCAAATAGTACAAACGTGTTTACTACATTTTTATCATGGTCAAACTAGATATTCTTCAGATAAATTTATAAATAAAAACAAAGCGTACAAGCAACAGCAAATTCCTTATCAACTGAAATTGTCAGATACGTTTATTTCTGGTTCTGGTCTTTTTCTTATTTATGCCTGCGGAAAAAAACCCTAACAAATCTACAGAGGTATAAATTTAAGCAGGATTTCTTAGTTCGGTATCTTGACGTTTTTTGTCATAGTTAGGAAATTTGGAAGTGTTGCAAAGAGAAGCCTGGTTAAAGCAGATCCCACCTTGCAACTCGTGGGTTGTGTAGCAGCAGTAAGGTTTTACCCCTCGTATCTGAAATCAGATTGTGCCTTTCCATTGCTTTTGTGTCAAAATAAGCAAAGGGATCTATAATAATGACTTTTTTTCAGAATGTAAATGTGTATTTGCGGCAGAGGTGGATGAGTTAAGATCAGCGCAGGGAAGGTTTCAGAGCTGTTTTCGGAGCTGTGTGTCCTTCACCCTCATCCGAGGGTAAAGGCTACTCGAGTGGCTTTTTTCTTTTTTTTTTTTTTTTTTTTTTTGGCAACGGTGCCCAAATGTTCTCGGAGATCAAAAAGCGAAGGGCTTTCCTGCCTGTGTTTATTCCTGCGCTGGGACGAGCGGGGGCAGCGGGCGCGCCCCCGAGCATCCCGAGCGGCGATCCCACCCAGGCCCGGAGCGCGACTTTCCTGCCAGGCCTGGGAGTGTTTGGCCCAGGAAAACTATTACTCACAAAGAACAAGTTCAGTGCATGCTTGAATTAAGACTGTAAAAGCTCCTAAAGTTGGTTGGTATGGAAACCTAATCCCAGCGAACCGCTCCGTGGCACAGCTGGACTGTTTACTTTCTCACTTCAAATATAACTGTGTAAACATTGGCTGGGAGCTGCCAGCGCGGCTCCTACCAACCAGTTAGTGTACTGGTGGGGCTGGGAGTGCTCCTGGGTAAAACCAAATTGCATCAAAACCCAATTCTCCCATCCTGCATGCCACTGATCAACCTGGATACAATTTTATGATTTTCTTTAAAAAAACCCAAAACCCAAAACCAAGCTCAAAACAAAACCCCAACAGAAAAGTAAGTGAATATTGCAGATTACACCTAGGCAAATACTTTTGACCCCGGTCCATCCTGGGAGCAGCCAAATCAATATGGCAAGGGAAACTTTTTAAAGTCTCGTGTTCCAAGAGCGGGTGAAACTTAATATTACTACAATAAAACCGTTTAATAAAGAAGGGCTTTAATAGTGAGCTAATTTGATTGAGTTTCCTAATTCCACTTTAATTGGAAAAGGAGTTGTCTGTTTGGTTATAAAGTGCTAGGGTTATGTTAGACTGGGGGAAAAAAAAAGATGGACGTTGAGCATCTGAATAAACTTTTTTTCCCCTATTTTTTCCCTTTTTTGCTTGGCAGCTGACTTTGTGCAGGATGGGTTTCCATATCTAGGATTATGAACGGGCTACAAAGAGCTGCTACTTAAAGAAATCAGGTCGCCACATTTCTCCTATTCTAGCCCTGTTGAGAAGGGCTTAGGAGCTGTTGATTTAACTCAGCTCCCCTTTTAATTATAAAAGCCATTCTTGTGTAGTTAGGCGAGCAGGACAATTTATCAGAATTGTTGCCGTGTCTTGGAGGTTGGCTTGAGCTTGGATTTATACAGCCGACAATGGGGATCACGACGATTAACTTTCATGTGGGTAGTTTAGGGAGTTAGATTGGGGGGGAGTAGGAGGAGGGAGAGGGGGGTGAGAGTTTCTGATAAATTATCGTACTGAAGTAATTCCCACAGATTAAAAAAAAATTCAAGAAAAAAATCCCTTGGGTTTGGAGCTGCCTCGGAGAGGAGAAGCCTCTGGCAGAACATAAAATATTCAGGTCCCTTTTAGAGTAAAATAAAATGCTGTCACTTGAATAAAAATCGGCGGAACGGAGTATAAATTATTTGTGAAGCAGAGAGGCTGCGGGCGAGCGCTCGCAAACTTCCCTGTTAATTAAATCTTAATCCACGGGTCGCAGGAAGCGGCGGGGCCGCCGCAGCGGCTGCTGTACATACAGCGGGACACGTTCCAGAGTTATATTAACTGCACTCGTGTTTAATATGAATCAGTCCTAATCCACAGCATAATAAAGATCAAATTAGTCTAACCATTTAGTAGCGAAATGACATTCCTTCACCTAAAATGAACCTCCCCGCGCCGTGCTGCAGCGCGGCAGCCTGGGCAGCCCGGCCGAGCCAGGGAGGCTTTTCCAGGCCGGGCACTTTGGTTTCCAGCCTGAGGGGGGAACCCCCGCCACCCTCCCACGCTTCCCAGAGCCGCCTCTTCCCCAACCCTCCGCATTCCCGGCCGGCTGCCGAGGCCCCGGGATGGAGGAGCGGGCTGGCCCGGAGCATCCCCGGTGCGGAGCATCCCGGGTGCGCTGCTGGGGCCAGGGGAACGCACACGGCAGGGAATGGTGCTGGTCCTGCTTCCAGCGGCGCCCCGGGCAGCCAGGGCCGGGTTGCGTTACTGGAGACCGAGGGAAGAGTCCCGACTCCCGCTCCGTCCTTCCCGCGGGCGCGGGAGCGCTGTCGCGGCTGTCCCGGGACTCGCCGCTCATTGCCGGGCTGGAAAGCACCGCGCACCCCGAGGAGGGATGGGATGGGATGGGATGGGATGGGATGGGATGGAATGGGATGGGATGGGATGGGATGGGCGGCCTTTTGTGCCGGCACTGAGCAAACACAGCTGCCGCCGGTGGCACGGACGGAGGGAACGCGGCTCTCCCCGTCCCGCCGCTGGCCCGCTCCCGGCCGCGCTCCCCTGGGCGCCGGTGACACCGGGAGCTCCCGGGCCGCTCTCAGCGCCGGTGTCGGGCACAAGAACTGCCCCGTCCCACCTCTGCTTCTGCTCACGGGGCGGGCATCCCCCCTCCCCGTGTTGTCATAACATCCCCATGGCAACTGCGGCAATTACTCCGATGCCGGAACAACAATGGGAAAGTATTTAATATATTTAAATGTGATTAAGCAGGTGGAAGGAACGAGGAGGAGCAGCTCCGTAGGAAGAGCCGGCGGAGGCTTCCAGGGAGCCCCGGGGGCTGCGGCTCTCCCGGGGCAGCAGCGGCACGTCTGGAACTCAACAGATGGAAGCGAGCGAGGGACGCGGGGTTACACCGGGAGAGGAACGGAGTGTTCCGCCGTTTTATGCTGCCTTTGAGGTGAAAATTCATTCCGATTTCCATCTCTCGGAATTTCGACTGAAATACTAATACACTGTTGCAAAAGAACATTTTTCCCCTGTTACTGTTCCTTTCCAGCTTCCCCTTTATTTTTCTCTACCTTATTTATTAGGAGAAAACCAAAAAAGTCGCACAAACCCGCTGTTAGCTGTAAGTTCGGAAAATAAAAGGCAGGGGAAAAAAACCTCCCTGAAACTGCACAAAGCTGGTTTGTATCCCTTCTCCAAAACGAGCTTACTAGGAAAAAAGAACACCAAGGAAACACCACTAGAAAAAAAAAAAAAAGAAAAAAAAGAAAAAAGAAAAAAAAAAAAGAGAAAAGGATAGAATTAATTTGAACACACACTTTAACCTGAAAATTATTCATTTTCAGCCACTACCCCTGATTTCGATGTAATTAGGGAATTTATAACCAATCGAAGAGATGCTGCTGACCCAGGAGCAGCTGCCGGGATGGAGGGTGATGATGTCCAGCGAGAGCCGCCGCCGCCTTTCCCCGGGAGCGGCCGGGGCTCGGCCAGCGGGGCCGGGCAATCCACCTTGGCACTGAATTCATTGTTAATTCGTGTGCCCGGCTGTGGTTTGGTGGGAATCACTGAGTGGGTTTGGTGGGAATCACTGGGAGGGTTTGGTGGGAATCACTGAGCGCGGCAAGGGCAGGAGGGTGCGGTGCTGGTGCGGGGGAGGCGCTGTCAATGCGAGGGAGCTGCCCTGGGGCAGGAAGAGGTTAAAGGGTGCGGGGATGAGCTGCCTCACCCTGGCTAAGAGCTGAAATAGCTGGAGAAGCTACATTGGTAAGTAATTCTGGTGCTGGATGATGCCTAAAGGTAAGAGAAAGGTGGAGAGGAGGGAAGGGGTGAATTCCATGAGAGAAGAACAGGATAGGGACTGATGGGGTCTTAGGCTCAAAAGAGCTAATGGAGAACTGGGATGCAGTATGAAGAGCTGTGGAAATATTCTGGACTCACTAAAATAAGATCTTGAGGTCTGTGTTACAAGAGTAAGATGAAAATGTGTCACCTGCTGTGCATTATCTAATATAATAATATATAATATCTATGTATATCTGCCTTTCCTGAGGGAGCCTTTAGGGCTTGACTAGGCTCTGGTGAGGTGGTCCTGTGTGGTGGGGTTTCCAAGGAGAAAATGGAAAGTGCCTAATTTCAGATGAATGTTCTCAGGTGCTCTCAGAGGTCAGGAGGCTCCATTGCAGCAACACTCAAACCCTGAGCAAGGGGCTGCAAGGGTAGCGCAGTGCTGGGTGCTCTCACTGATTGCTCACGTGGAAGCAAGAACATCCAGAGAGATGAAAATGCTGAAAGACCAGGCTATTACTTTAACTGCAAGTGGCTCTTTGGTAAATATTTCTAATAATAATGAAGTCTGGTCTGAGGCCTGTTCAATCCAAGATTTGGCATAAGCACGTGTTCCTCTTCACTCCAGGTATGAATCTGGCAGAAGTGGACAAGGACATGATGAGACACCTGCCTGGGGGATAATTCTGTTTGGAATGCTGTTTTTTGCAGTATTGGATTTACCTGTATGTGGGAGCTAAAGTCTTATCTTAGGTTTTATCGTAAATCCTTGCAAACTCTAAACTACAGGGGGAGAAGCATTGCTTCCTGACAGCCCTGTTTTGATGGCCTGGAAGAGGAAAATCTTGTCATGTACTGGTTTGGGGATTAATTTTCTGTAAGAGATGGTGCTATGTGGTTCCTGGCTTCACACAGAAGCTCTGTAATGCAGATCTGTGAGGGGTAAGGTGAATCCTTTGGCATGCTGTCAATGTGAGTGTTTTTGCAGCTAGTATGAATTCAGACAGGTTTGGGGTTTTTATCTGTTTTATATTCCCTCCTTTCTTGTTTTGAATCTTATTAATGTGGTGTGAAGTTTATAAAAGTTATGC